AAAGAGAGAGAGGGGAGAGGAAAGGGAAAGGAAAGAGAGAGAGAGAGAAAGAGGAAAGAGGGGGAGAGGAAAGAGGCATAAAATAATTCATTTGCATTTAATTGTAATGGTTCAAAGAATGTTCGGAAAAATGTTCGGCCCTCCAGCACGTTCACTTCATCCAATCTGGCCCTCTTTGAAAAAAGTTTGGACACCCCTGTTATACAGAGTTCACCCTATGGTTTATGACTTATCTTATGTATCAAGGTTTTACTGCATTATGATGATGATACAGTAGCTTGGTTCTAATATGCAATAGTGTCAAATACATTGTTCTAATATGTGCACAAGTTTAGGCAATTTAGAACTATAGAAATTTACTACACGGTATTTGTGCTGGTGCTTTCAAAAAAAGCTCAGGAATGGAAGAAATAGAAATCACCAATGATAGTTTCAAATGAGATTGATAGAATATATGATTCTTTTATTACTCCAATACAATTGGCTTTTAAATTATTTCCAATGCCAGTTCAACATAATTGCTTTTAAATCTTCGAGCAGTATAAAATCATAAGTGTGTTCCAAAATATTATTTCGTCTCCAGTTTTTTGGAATGATGCTGCTTTTCATTTAATCATCAATCAAAATATATGGAAAACATTTATTATCTTACAAATATTTGTTAAAGCCTATATAGAACAATATTGTTTCATCAATTCAATAAAGTTATTCAGTAGTGTAGAGTTATTTTAGTTTCTCAACCTTGGCTACTTTAAGCTGTCTGGACTTCAACTCCCAGAATTCCCCAGCCAATATGTTTAGCTGGGAATTCTGGAAGTTGAAGTCCAGATAGCTTAAAGTTGCCAAAGTTGAGAAAGATGCAATAGAGCCTTTCCATCCATAGAACCTTCTGATGTTATGATTCAGAATGATATTATATTATTTTACTGTGTAAAAATTTTACTGTGTTTTTATGATTTTGTTACATTTCGTTATGAGGTTCCTATAAATCCTATTAGCAGTTTTGTAAATTTCTTTATGCCAATTGGAAGTATAGTGTCTGTATCTTATCAAAGTAGGAAAAAACCAGTTAAGCTATACTGGGGAGAAATAATACTGTCAAACAAATCAATTAACATAATATTTATTTTAATCTATTTAAGTGATTTTGTTACCTCCAATAACTTTGTGTTTGATAAATACATTATATTGTTAAAAGAACAGTAATTACCTGACTCCTGGAGGTAACGATAAACCAAGAAATTCACTTCATCGCTGGTTATGCTCATCTTAGCCCCACCTCAATACAATGAGGCTTGCAAGAAGTGTGATCGACGCTCTGTTCAAAGAGGAATAATCAGAAATATATCTTTTGATTGCAATTATTTAATTTTAACTTTAATTTAGAATTTTAAATTTTTTAAAGGTTGCATTTAATTGAAATAAACATGAATTCAAGTAATTATTTAATTGATTGAAAGGTTTAATTGTTGGGTAAAATATGTGTAGCAATAGTAAGTTGACCATTTTGAATGAGAGTTTCATCATTCATTTTGAAACTATTCACAAATTTACACGGTTGTCTCTGTAAAATGAAACCACATACCAGAAAAGAACCAAATATTGCAAGATAACAGTTTAAAAGGATCCATCTAGAACAATATGGTTGGTGATTCTGCAGCTTATAATTTTTTAAAAAAAATTACATTACAAATAAAATATAATTTTTAACTATGACTATGAATCAAAAGTATATGAAATGGCCTTTAAAATGCAATATATAGTCCAATTGTTCCAATGTCTATGTTGCACTTTCACCATTCTCATCACCAAGTTACACCACAATGTTAGATAACAGAATGGATTTTTTACAAATTCTCTACATATATGTGCATATATGTTTCTCTGTTTTGCACTTAGGAAAACATTTATTCATTCAAACTGTTCAGCAATTCCTTCTGCTTAAAGTAACACCTGCTACTTTAAGCTATACTAATCTACAGGTTTCCTTGACGCTAAAGGTCAGACATTAGTCTAGCAGATGTCTGTGCATTATTTATGTGAACTTTTCTTTGGAACTATTTGGTGCTTTTATTTCAGTGTTTTCATATAATCTATCATCCATACAAATTCATTTCCCCCTGCAGTTTTACAATCATGGTAAATTAGTACTCTTCTTCCTAGGTATTAATTATACTTACAGCAGTAATTTGTACTTTGCACAATAGAGAGAGTAATTTGCTTTTATTTCCTTCTATTGTATTTCCAAACAGAAAAATATTTCTGTTATTTTCAGTAAAAGTTTCTTTGGAAAGAACTTGAATTACTTTATAATTAAAAATGATTAAAAAGTCCATGTAGAATATCCAATTGTAGAGAAATCTATAATATAGAAAGACATAAATGCATTCAGTGGCAAGACTGCTAAAAATTGGTACATTATCTCTTTTAAGTGTTCTTAAAGCTTAGTCCACAACCATAGGTTTGTTTGTTCTGAATAAACTCTATCAGAATAATATAAGAAAATGACATTTTTAGTTCTGACAGGAGATATATCAATGATACTAGGACTAATAATTATGTTACAATATCAATATCACACAACTATAGGTAATCCCTGAGTTAAGAACATTCCCTTAGCGAACTTTTGAAATTATGTGATAAGCGCCCCCTAGTGTTTATGAACAAATCCCAAAATTATGAATGTTGCAGCACCACAGCAGTCGTTCACCCTTACGAATGACCGCAGAGGCACTGCAACATTCACTCTGGCTATTCCCTCCCCCCGCCAGGTCTCCATAGGCACTAGGCCTGGCACTTCACCTCACAAAGATCTAGAGAGCCTTCAGTTTCTTGGCCTGTTTCGGTGCTTCAGGTCTTCAGTGCATTCGCAGAGAATGGAGGCCTAAAGTACCACAAGATCATGTGATATCAGTAGCACGAGATCTTATGCTATTGATCTCACGTGATTTCACGGTCTTAAGTACTATTCTCTGCACATGGAGGCCTGGACAAGATCTGTGGCAAAAGGCTTTGCAAATGAAGGGAAGGCCTAAAACATTGAAACTTTCTCTCCGTTTGCAGAGCCTTTTGCTATCTTTACAAAAGGCCTATGCTCCCGAGAACGGAGCCCCAGATTAGAATAGAATACAGCTGGAAGGGACCTTGGAGGTCTTTTAGTCCAGTCCCCTGCTCAAGCAGGAGAACCTATACAACCTCAGACAGGTGAATGTCTAGTCTCTTCTTAAAAAACTCCAGTGATGGAGTGCCAGTGATGCACACGTCGCCCCCGGCCTCCGTTTTTGCTAGCAGAGGCCTTCGGGCAAGGCCTATGCCACTGAGAATGGAGCCATGGATTCACGTGCACATGGAGCCCTGGCCTCCATTTTTGCTGGTAGAGGCCTTCAGGAAAGGCCTATTCCACTGAGAATGGAACCTCGGAGTGATGTATGCATCACCCCGGCCTCTGTTTTCATCGGCAGAAGCCTTCAGGAAAGGCCTCTGCCGGCAAAAACAGAGGCCGTGGATGATGCGCGCCTCAACCTAGGGCTCCATTCTCAGTGGCAGAGGCCTCGAGGAGGCCTTTGTTGCCAAGAACGGAGGCCCGGAACAATGCATACTCCCTCTGGGGGCTCCATTTTCATCAGCAGAGGCCTCGAGGCCTTTGCTGCCGAGAACAGAGGACTGGAGCGACCGCACACTCCCTCCAGGGGCTCCGTTTTCGCCAGCAGAGGCCTCAAGCCCTAATGGGGCTCTTTGAAGCAGCGCCCCATAGGCGTATAAACACTTTTCGGTCAGAAAGCTTCTGGAGGCCATCTCATGTGACTTCAGGCACCCATCCGCTTTTGCAGAGAGTGGGTGCCTGACTTCCCCGCGAGATCAAGGCATCCAGAAGCTTCCAGTCTCTGCATGAAAAGTGTTTGCATACTAACGGGAGGCTTGAAGCAATGTGATTTCACTGTCCCACATCTCCCTTCAGCACGTAAACGCTTTTCTGCACTGAGCCTGGAAGCCTTTGGAGGAAACTCACTGATGTTGCCTACCGTTCCAGAAGTCAGAGAAGCCGAGCAGGGCGTGCTCGTCCTGCTCTCCCTGGGAGCAGACAAAGAAACAGAGAGGTTGTAGAGGAGACAGATCTTCACAAGGTAAGTGATCCGACCTGGCAGGATGGGGGGGGGCAATTATGGGGACCCAGGGGAAGGAGAATGAGGTATCTCAGTGGGTCAGGGGAGGCCTTTGGTGGTCTGAAGCAGGTGGTCTGGTCCATCACTAGGCCCCCATGGTCTTCCCCACCCTGAGATACCTCATGTGGACTTAACGAGCTGGGCATTTGATTAGCGCATGCATGGGCGGAAGCAGGGAGTGATCGCCTTCAAGGTATGATATTCACTCCTACGGGTCCTCGAGTTACAAATGGAATGGGCAGGCTCCATTACGTTTGTAACTCGAGGACTACCTGTATATCACAGCAAAACAGACATTTAATTGGAAAGAACTTACAATGAACCATTTGTACATCTAATAAACAATACCAATTAACATATCAATTATATCTTCATATTTATTATCTCCATGTCCAAAATACCCATTTACTGGCACAATTGAATCTTATGCTTTATTTATAAATTAGACATCTGTTGCTTATCTTTTAAATTATTTTTAGATTTGTTTTCTAAAAACCTATTTATTGGTTTTGAAGAACGTCACATAAAAGAACACTTTGATTTTATAAAACTTGTTTTAAAGTTTAGTATACAGTTTTTAAAAAACTCCCTTTTTATAACCCTGTAAGCCAGGGGTCTCCAACCCCTGGTCCATGGACAGGCTGTGGCATGCCAACAACTGGTCTGCACAAACAAGCAAAGCTCTATCCGTGGGATGTAGGCAGCACACAAAACCACGCCCTCTCCGGTCCGTGGAAAAACCTTTCTCCATGGAATCGGTCCCTGGTACCCAAAAGGTTGGGGACCTCTGCTGTAAGCCCTTTAATTCAGTATGGTTGACAAAATGAGGATGATTGAGAATGAAGGCAGCTTCAAGAGTTGTTTGAGAGTTTTCATCAGCCTAGGAAATTTGAACTGATATGATTATGGAATTTTCAGATATTTTATGTCATTTCAGGCAATACAGATTATCCATACTTCCTGTAAAGCAGTGGTTCTCAACCTGTGGGTCGGGACCCCATTTGGGGTCGATCGACCATTTCATGGGGGTCGCCAAGCAAGGCTGTCCGCCATTTTTTTTGTCCGCCATTTTTTCCCCCTTTTCCGGCGGGTGCCTTACTTCCCTTGGGCTGGGCCAGCTGGTGATCGGCCTGCTCCGTCTCTGCCGCTTGCCAGCTACGCCTCGGCCGGCGCAGGGGGCAGAACCACGCATGCGCGGCGCTCCCGGGCAGGGAAAGTCCTCGACTTACGACCGGTTGGGTAGTCCTCGACTTACGACTGGTTTAGTCCTCGACTTACGACTGGTTTAGTCCTTGACTTACGACCGGTTGGGGTCGCGGCATTAAAAAGGTTGAGAACCACTGCTGTAAAGTTTTAAAACAACTATCTTTCTTCATCCCTCCTTTTTTGGCATTCTGATAAAAATGATCTTCTTAAATAGAAAGAGATCACTGATAGGTATTGGAAACTTATTGGGGGCATCAAAGAGTGTCAATGCAACATTGATGTAATCATTGTAAAACAGTAGACAGAGCAGTAAAGATAATGCAGAGAAATTCTATGGTGATGGTTCAGAAAAGAAGTCAGAGAAAGAAAACTCTCAAAGAAAAAAACAAAGATGTTTTAGCAATCCTGAAAATGTTGAAATATTTTACAGTACATTGAAAGGTACCTGTGTCTAAAATATTTTTTCAAGCCCTAGTGTATATATTTGTGCCTATTTGTGCCTCACTCTCCCATACATTGATACTGAATATTGTTCCAAAGATAGGCCAATGTCAATCTTAGCAATTTTTTCTGTTACCTTCAGTTGTATTGGTTGGCATCAGTAGCAATAGTAGTGTAATAGTAGAAAACAGCACGAGCAGCAGAAAAAGTATTGGCATTTCAAGTCACTGTTTTACAAGTAAACAAACTGAGCACCAAGTACTGTGCAAAGACATTGCTGTAGTCGACAACACTCCTGAGTGTGGCTGAAACCAGATTAAAATGCAGTTGAATAACAATTAAGAAAATAAAATTAAAATACAACAAAACATAAGGTATATTTTAAAGCTAAATAATAATAAATTTAGTGATCAGTAACTGAAATTCCAGGTTTGTGACTCTCCTACACATTCACTTGATGCAGTAAAATTGTTTGGTGCTGCCCCAGCACAGGCTAAGCAGGATGACTTTATGTCAGGAACTCTCCCTCAGTGTGAGCTACAACAGTGCCAAGCAACCTTCCTCCTGCAATTAAACACAGGAAGCAAGCTTGGGGTTTTCCTGGACAATACTCTAGCCAGCCAGCCTTGCACTGGTTAACTGACTGGCTTTAAACACCAAAGCTTCCAATGCACAAAGGAGCCCTTCCCCCACAAAACAGGTCCCTTCAAAAAGGCTGAATTTTCCTCCCTCCAAAAGAAGTTGCATTCATTTCTCCCTCCAAGAATTTCAAATAAGTTAAATTTCAGGCTGCAGAAGGTCCATGATCAATGTTAACTTTCTAAAAAATTCAGGTTTAGAATAATAATTCAAGCTTACATAAGTTCAGAATATAATGCATGGAAGGAAGGAAGGAAGGAAGGAAGGAAGGAGAAAAAAATGAAATGGGCAATCTAAATGGTCTTTTTATAATGCTTCCTTTTTCATTTTATTTTAATTATTTTTCATCACATAAAATTCCCCTGCAAAAAAAAAAAAAAGAAATAAAAAATCCTACTTCTGAGATGTAAGAACTTTGGTTAATCTTTCTGAAATATGAAATACCTTGATATTAATATATATTAGCCTATGCCAGTGGTTCTCAACCGTTTTAATGCCGCGACCCCAACCGGTCATAAGTCGAGGACTAAACCAGTCGTAAGTCGAGGACTAAACCGGTCGTACGTCGAGGACTAAACCGGTCGTAAGTTGAGGACTAAACTGGTCGTAAGTTGAGGACTACCCAACCGGTCATAAGTCGAGGACTTTCCCTGCCCGGGAGCGCCGCGCATGCGTGGTTCCGCCCCCTGCGCCGGCCGAGGCGTAGCTGGCAAGCGGCAGAGACGGAGCAGGCCGACCACCAGCTGGCCCAGCCCAAG